GAACTGCTCCCTCTCTAAAAACCATTTTGAACAAGAGAGTTGCTTCCTTCAGAAGACGCTGTACGAGAGGAACGAGCTGTGGTGAGAGTCCGCTCGTCCTAGCTCAGCCCCAAGTGCCAGCCGACCGCTTGCCTCAGTACCAACAAAGACACGGGCTCAGCAGGCGGTGCACAGCGGGAGCCGGTCCTCCAGGCCAGCAGGCGGCGCTGCGGCCCCTCGCGCTCGACGGAGGAGGCTCTCTGCCGGGCAGGAAGAGTCTCTGCGGCATCTCTGTACACGCGCCTGCCATGGTGCCCGCTCCGGCCGTGCTGACCCGGCTGTTGTGTGCAGGTGAGCGCGGAGGATTCCGGAGACGGGAGGGACCTGGGGATCCGAGAGGAGAGGACAGGGACGTGGGCTGGACGCGGCCCCACTGGCTTTCTCCCCACAGGTATGCAGCGCTGCCCAGGTTTCCTGCAGAAGGCGGCCCCGGGCCTAGCGGTGCAGAATGGTAGGAAGGTCACAGGAGTAATGGTCCCTGCGGTCAGCGAGCCCCAAGACGGCGACGGTAAAGGCCAGCGGGTGGAGCTGGGCCGGGGCGCAGAATCGTGGCGGGGGTTGTGATTTCAGGATCCTCAAACGAACCTAGTATTCATCTAAGTGGTGGGAGGGAAAAATAGGACCCCTGTGGCCTAGTAGCCCTCGAGACCAGTAAAGACTAGTTTTGAATCTGTCCATCTTGCCGGTCTTCTGGTCACCCGAAGTCAACGAGGCCCCTGTCTTCTCTTACATTTGTAGAGAAAAGGGAAGAGGGCCGACCAGGCTTTCCCCACACAGAGTCACCTCAGACCTTGACACTAGCCCCTCGGTGTCATAAAAATGCCCCCGTGTCTTCCAGATCTTTCCTGGTGTTTCTTCTTCTCAGCTTTTGAGTTTCCCACTCCCCAGGAGACTGGTGAGTTTTTGGTTGGTGGTGATGGGCCACAGTGTCTGCTATTCCTCCCTTTTTCAGATTTCCAGAGCAGGATCCTAGATGTGCCATTACAGCATTCCGATTTCTTCAATGTCAAGGAGTTGTTTTCTGTGAAGAGTCTCTTTGAGGCCCGAGTACACCTGGGACATAAAGCCGGTTGCCGTCATAGGTAGTTGACACAGGCAGTGTGGGCAGAGTGGTGGGATTGGAAGTGGGGTTGGGTGGGGGTGTCTGCAGCAACACCAAGTGCAGTGCATTGATGCTGCTCACAGACATGGTGAAAATTGAGAGTCATCGCAGGCTGGGGACCCCTGTAGAGAGGTCCTGCTGTATGGAACAGAAATGGCCATGGAGAGCTACATTAGACAGAGCGCCTTGGTTGGGTTCATGTTTATCTGTAGTTGGTTCTCAGATCTCCACAGGGAGAAGGTGGGACAGGTTGAGCCACAAACCCGATGCTAGCTGCTCAACTCCACAACTGTCCCCAGCCCCCCATCCCTAGACAGGAGTTGACAAATGTAAATAGTACCGTTCAGCCTGCAGTGCCCTCACATAAGAACCTGCGAACACTGTTCCACTTACCTTGGGGTTTTTTGGCAGGTTTATGGAGCCATACATCTTTGGGAACCGCCTGGGCCAAGATATCATCGATCTGGATCAGACAGCCTTGAATCTCCAACTGGCCTTGAACTTCACCGCCCATATGGCCTACCGCAAGGGCATCATTCTGTTTGTGAGCAGGAATCGACAGTTCTCTCACTTAATTGAGACTACAGCCCAAGCCTGTGGGGAGTACGCCCACACCCGCTACTTCAAGGGTGGCTCACTGACTAATGCGCAACTCCTCTTTGGACATACAGTCCGCCTGCCAGACCTTGTCATCTTCCTGCACACACTCAACAATGTCTTTGAACCCCACGTGGCCGTGAGGGATGCAGCCAAGATGAACATCCCCACAGTGGGCATAGTGGACACCAACTGTAACCCATGCCTCATCACCTACCCTGTCCCAGGCAATGATGACTCACCCCAAGCTGTCCAGCTCTTCTGCAAGCTCTTCCAGACAGCCATCAACAGGGCCAAGGAGAAGAGGAGGCAGATGGAGGTTCTGCATCGGCTGCAGAGTCCCAAGGGTTCCGAGGGCAGTGAGACATCTCCTGCACCTAATAAGAGCTATTCCCCATGACAGGAAGCCCTTTTCCCACACTAGATAGCCAGGCCTGTTTTGAGTAGGAAGCTCCTTGTCCAACCCTGGTCTATGTCCCCATCCTCAGCATCAGCACCACAGTCCTATTTTCCCTAGATATGGCCACCCCAAAGTCCAGCCATCTTGAGCTAACCCTTGTCCATCTCTTCTCTGAGGACAAACTCAGGTACAGTACATATTCACATGGCCTCTGGCATCCATTAAGACTTGAACATGACTAGCCAAGTTTCGGCTTCTCTTTTCAGTTAAAATTAATTCTCCATTGTCTGTGAAAGATTACTTTCATTCTCTGAAGAAAATTCCAAGCAAAACAACACTGATGTCCCTCAGGACCCCCAGTAGTTGCCTCTAGACCTGTAACCATACTTAAGGCTAATCAGGTTCCCAGAGGGGAGATATAAAGTATAGTCCATGTGTTGTGCTACACTACTAAAGAACTTAAGTTTGCCAATTCATTCAAGCAGAAGTCTGGGGAATATATGTGGGAATGGATTTTAAAGGTGTGGGTTAATGATGGAAGGAACATAAAACTGAATCAGGCTGAGTTTATGGGCCCTCTGAGTGGAGATCTGTGTTTAATATGGAAGCTCACACAGTGAAAACAAAAAGTGTCAAAAGTTTGAGTATTTGGCTGAAGTATTTTTTAAAAGACAGCCTACTGCTCGGAGCACAAAGGTTTTTGGGCCCACAGATCGCCAAGGAAGCCAGGAATGTTAATCACATAGGGTTGTCTCCTCATAGAAGGAAATCAATACCTGTTTTCTACCCAGAGGACTGAGAGTGGATGTTGTTAATGACCTGGTGACCTTTGCTATTTGCTGAGCAAGACCTTACCCAAATTCCCCTAAATGCTTATTTTGGACTCTCCCTTCCTAGACCTTTATTTTTAGTTTGGTTTCTCCACTAATAGAATCCATCCTTAGGGGAGATGTCACAAGTACTTTATGGCCTGCTGACCTCTACACTGTCTTGGTCAGAGACCACACCAGAACCTAGGCCCTTAAGCTATAGGACCCGTATTTGTGGTCACGTGTACTTTGAGCTGAGTTTCGATGTAATTATGCCTCTTATACCTGGAATTGTATTATACCAGGAAGCTCTTTTCCAGAATTGTACTATATTTTAATATGTTTACAATAAACCACCTGGTGTCAGACTCTCTAGAACTTTGAACCAGCACCAACTAAGTCAACTAAGTTTTCTTTCTTGTGTTTCACAGATCATTTTCCTGCAAGTTCTGATGCTTGCAGCCCCCCCCCCTCCCAAAAGCATACTGAAAAGGAGTTGGAGATGCCTGATATCTCTTGGCTTAGTGGTGGTGAGGGGCTTTTAAGGCTCAGGGAAATTGCAGTGCTAGAGCAGGTACACTGTATAAAACCTAATCCTCAACAATGAGAAGGCCCAGAGGACAAGCCTTTCACTAATCCTGTAAGAGAGGTACCAAAATATATGAAGAGCTTTGTTGTTGCCCTTTTCACTGTACAAGACCTTGGGGTTGGAGATGCTTGCTCTGTTTTATAAATTAAATGGTTTAATTGAGCCCCCAAAGAAGCAGGAGCCAGGTGGCAGCACTGAGTCACCAAAGGCCCGGTGATCATAGTTATCACCATGAGCAGCCACAAAGCCATGTCCATAATGGTCTGACCTGTGATGGTAGCACAGCAAAGTGAATTTTATGGTGGCATGATTTGTATGGACCTTTGGTACTAGCTAATCAATCATGTGGTTTCCAGGCATTAAATAGAAAAGAACCATAGTGAATTTTTGTTTGATCTGCATAATGGAAAAAATCTCAAACTAGATCAAAGCAAGGATACACTAGATCAGGGCAAAAGAGACTCTCAACCCATGAACCAATTTCCAGTTTGGAGACCCACAGTGGCGTGATGGCCAGGTTCTCTTAAGGGAGGACCTTGATAAAGTATCTAAAAGTTTTGCTGTTAGCCTTCTCCAGAGAGTATTTAACAAAAGCATCATTGCTCTTGTCAAGGAAAATGAAACAATCAGACTCTCCAGGGTCTACTGGATATCAATTCTAGGAGACCCTAAGAAACATTGTGGTCCTCCAGTTAAAGTAGAGGCTTACAGAGGTCAACTTATTAATGGAGTTTTGGCTAACATCCACCTCACAGTAGGTCCAGTGGGTCCCTGAATCCATCTTGTGGTTATTAACCCCAGTCCCAGAAGGTATATTTGGGATAGATATACTTAGAAGTTGGCAGAATTCTCACATTGGTTCCCTGACCTGTAGAGTGAAAGCTCTTATGGTTGGAAAGACTAAATGGAAGCCTTTAAAGTTGCCACTAGCAAGGAAAATAGAGAATCAGACCAGTATTGCATCCTTGGAAGAATTGCAGAAATTAGTGCCACCATCAAAGACTTAAAAGATCCAGGAATGATGGTTCCCATCAGGTCTCCCTTAACTCTCCTATCTGGCCAGTGCAGAAGGCAGATCATGGAGAATGACAGCTGACTATGGAAAGCAGTCAGGTAGTAACTCTGACTGTAGCTGTTGTACCAAGTGTATTATCCTTACTTGACCAGATTATCACTTCTCCTGGTATATGGTGTGCAGCTGTTGATCTATCAAATGCCCCTTTCTCTGTATCTGTCCATAAGGATCACCTGAAACAATTTGCTCTCAGTTGGCAAGACCAGCATTGCACGATTTTACCTCAAGGTTATATTAACTCTCCAGCCTTGTGTTATATAATTTAGTTAGAAGGGATCTTAATCATTTGTCTCTTCTACAAAATGTCACATTGGTGCACTATATTGATGCATATTGATGACATTATGCTGACTGGACCAAACAAGCTGGAGGCAGCAACCACTTTGGACTCATTGGTAACACATGAGCATCAGAGGATGGGAAATAAACCAAAATTCTGCCTCAGTGTTTAAAGTGGAGAGCAATGGGGGAAGACACCTGATATAAACCTTGGGCTTCCACATGCACATGAGTGTGTGCACACACAACACATATACACATGAAAACACATACACAGACACATATAAACATACACAAAGATATAAAAGGTACATATGCATGTGTATATTTCTGTGTGCCTAGGGGAAAAGGCAGAGAAGGAACGGTAAACACTGAGCCACATATTCATGGCTCCCTTCTCTCTGTGTCCTTTCTCTTTGCTTTGTTCTTTCTTGCCCTCGTGCTAGTTACCTTGAACATTTCCATGTCTGCCCAAGTACCAATTCAGGTCATACATGTGCTCCAACAAAAAGTAAGGCCAAGCCGGGCATGGTGACACATGCTTTTAATTTCAACACTTGGGAAGCAGAGGCAGGTAGGTTGTTGGTTCAAGGCCAGCCTGGTCTACCAGTGAATTCCAGGACAGTGAGGGCTGTTACACAAAGAAACCCTGTCTAAAAAAACCAAAAAACCAAACCAACCAACCAACCAAAAAATAACACCATCATACACATACAAACGCATACACATAGAGGAGAGAGAGAGTCATATTTTTGAGAATTCTGGAATTTTTATTTCTTAAAAAAAACACACACACACAAAGCCAGGCGGTAGTGGTGCACACCTTTAATCCCAGCACTTGGGAGGCAGGGGCAGGCAGATTTCTGAGTTCGAGGCTAGCCTGGTCTACAGAGTGAGTTCCAGGACAGCCAGGGCTACACAGAGAAACCCTGTCTCGAAACCCCCCCCCCAAAAAAAAAACCACACAAAAATATTAAAAGAATGTTTCCATTTTAATACCAGGTGTAGGGCTGCTTCAAACTGACAGCAGCAGCGGACTGTGATTTGCCTCATGTTCTAGCGGAGGTGTGGTTTGGCCAGCTGCACATAGTTTCTGCAATTTTATGACATTTGGAATTCTGGGAACTTTTCAGAGGTTATATAAATGCTAGCGTCTCAAGATGTGGTAGACAGTTGTTCATTCAAGGGGGGGGGGGCGGGTTGTGGTTTATTAGTAATCGTGCTTAAAAAGAAAGAAATTAGATTCAAGGATCTCTCCTTTCCCCCACCCTCTCTTAATTAATGATAGGGGGTTAAACCAGGGGAAAGAAGTGGGAAAAAAATGCACAAAATAGCAAAGACCAGCTATAACTCCCCCTAAAAAGAAGTAAGACCAAATGCACCTGCACTTTCTCCCATCCACTTCCCGAGTGCATTTGCAGTTTCTTTCATCCGATACTGGTATATTTTTAAGTCATGGGAGTCTTTTTAATCTTTCCTCCCCCTTGTTTGGGATCAGCCCTTTTCAGACTTTTAAGTGTTAATTAACAACTCTAAGGTAAAAGGTTTCCCCAATACAAATGTTATGGTTCTGAATGTAAACAGGAGCCAAAGAAGAACCACAAAGTCACATAGCATGATAAATTAGCCAAACACCTCTACCTTATTAAACTTCCTGTCCAGCTGGAGATATAGGGTCTTCCACCCCTCCTATCTGGAAATAGCTGTTACTCCAACTCACAAGGCCATCAGCATCAATAGAAAATACTTCATCTGAGTCAAGATAACAAGACGAAAGTATTGCAGCTCTGAAGGGAAAGGCTCCCTCTACAAAAGTGTTACAGCTCCGTTCCCACTGTGGGGGAAAGGTTTTCTAATGTAAGTGTAAATGCTCTCTGTTCTGGCGGGGAGCTTTCCCCGGTGAACGTGTTACAGCTCTGCTAGTAGAGGTATCCTGGCAATCAGGAGCCAGGGAATACCACAAAGTCACACCACACAACAAACTTCACACAAGAGATTTATTGGAGGCAGAGGAAACCCAGAAGGGTAGCTAACTCTGTTAAGTGGAGAAGCAGCAGGGAACTGGCAGAGACAGAGTTTATATGGGGTTCCTTAGAGAAAGGAGCTTTTCAGGGTGGTCGAGAATCGTCTGTCCCTGCTTTCTCCCAGGAGCTTGTTGGCCAAGAGCCTGAGGAGAGAAAAGGAGCAGAGGCAGAGAGTTGAGAGGACAGAATGACCGTTGGAGACCTCTACAATGAGACAAGTCTATTGTTTCAGGAGTAGGGTTATAAGGGCTTTTTAGGAGTACAGGTGGAAAGGGCTAATTGGTCATGACATCAAGCGAGTGGGAAGAGATTGGTTATAATACAGCACCTAATTATCATGTGTGAAGGAAGCCAGAGTGAGACCTCTGTGCTGTGTTATGCAGCCTTGAAGAGAGCTCTGCACAAGGTCACTTTTCAGACAAGGCCAGCCACCTGTGTTCAGGGACACTTTCCAAAGACAGGCAGAGACAGAGGAGCCCTGCTGAGAATGGAAGTCCCCCATTTTGCACCAAGTTCAGAAAGCCATCCAGTCATGGGGGATTGCTACCTTAATAGCAAGGTTCCCCAACAGAGGGATTATATGGCTTGATTTGGGGGCAAGCTCAAGGATTGGTGGAATTCTGTAGCAAGCTCAGAGATTGGTGGGATTCTGTTTCTTGGCCCTGGTCTTGGGCTTGATCTTCACTATAAGGATATAATCAGGCGTTGCAGACTCCTGGTTTTGTAGCTAGGGCCTGGTAATCCTGTAATAGCATCTGATTAAAAGTCTGGTTAGATATCTTTTGGATCTGTTCTTGAAGAAATCTAGACAAGAAGTTAAAATATTAAGCTTTAGATATTAATAAAGAAGTTTAAAACAACTTTAATACTATCTACCCTCAAGATACATTTGAATCCCTACTATACTGAATTCAGGGACGAGAAAACCCAGAGATAAATTCTAAGCCCTGGTCATCAAAGCAGTCAAAACAAGCACCAGTGTAGTACCAATCTGGAATTTTGGTTTCTTTAAAACAAACAAACAAACAAACAAACACAGAGAAATATAAGAATATATTTTTGTTTTATTCCTAGGTGTTGGGCTATGAAACTGTTCACAGCCGCTGACTATGATTTGCCTCGTGCTCTAGCAGAGTGATGGTTTGCCAGCTGCAGATAGTTTCTGTGACTGTGTACATTTAGAATTCTGGAAACCTTTCAGAGGGTCTATAAATGCTAAGAGCTCCATAGGAGCAGTGGTTGTCGGTTATTCAGAGGGTTGTGTTGTGGTTTGTTAGTAGTCATGTTCAAAGCAGAAACAAAAAAAATTGGAGTCAGAGATCTCCAATTCTCTCCCCTACCTCTATCCTTCTTTCTCTCCTTTCTAGTGACAGGGGGTAAAAACAGGGAGTTAGAGGGTGGGAAAAAGAAGAGCCCACAAAGTAGCAAAGTCAAGCTGTAAGTGGTGCCCAATATGGATGGAGCTCAAAACTTGAGGATAAAAATGGAAAATCTGATTTCAAATGCTGGAGAGGAAACAGCAGAAGATGAAGATATAGATTGTTTTTTTTTTTCAAGACAACAGCAATATATATATAAAATGTGTGTGTGTGTGTATGTGTGTGTGTGTGTGTGTGTGTAAAATCTGTTACTTTTGGGACGTCCCCTGCTTTACACCCAGAGAGGATTTTCTGGATTTGTTATTATTGTTTCTTCTTCATATATTATGTTCCAAAAATGTTTGAAAGACTTGTTGTACAGTCGGAAATTTTTCAGGTGGAAATGAAGGGACCTAAAAAGCAAATAGTGGCTGAATTGGGAAAACAATGTTCTACTCTCTCTTTTCTGGAAGGGTTGCAGATATGGCAAAGCAACTGGAGAGGATGCAGGTGGAGATGGAAGCTCTTGGGAGTCATGGAGCACCAGAAAAGAGAGAATGAAGAGAACACTCCTGGTGAGTGTCCTGCAGGAAGAAAGAGGGGGAAGAACCTGTGCCAGAGGGTGGTTGGGTCAGAGAAAAGTTGAAAGAGTAGGAGGACAATCTGAGGAAACAGCTTGTACTGTTAACCTTGAAACAGCTGTGCTGCCAGAGTGGGAGAAGGGGCAGTCAGGGTATATGACATCACCCTCAACTTTCCCAGTAGTCATATAACACATGTCTGCTAATGCTGTAGAACAGGTTATTATGGGGAGATAGGATGACATCCTACAGAAATGATAGATTAAGAAGGCATTTTAAAGAGGCCATAATTTCATATGGGATGCACTCACCTTATGTAAAACAAATTCTAAATAACTGGGCTACTCAAAATAGAATTATTACCCAAAACTGGAAGGGAAGGATAACAGCTGTACTAGAGGCCAGTCAGCAATTACAATGGTTAACTTGGTGGAGGGAAGAAGTCATGAATATTGAACAGCAAAATAGAACAACAGGATGGATATAGTAAAAGACCAGTTGCTGGGTAAAGGGTGGTGTCGCGCCCACCCTCGACCAGCAAGGATGACGCTACACACGAGCTCTTCTCCAAGCAGTTTATTCAGGAACCTTGAATAATCTTCTGACTGACCCCGGGGGAAGGGTCTCCCAGGCTTAAGTAGTCAAGGGCTAGCCTACCCCAGCGAGCCACGTGGCAACAGCAGATAGGTCCACAAACACGGAAGCAAGCCAGATCACCAGCCACAGCCAAATAAGGACTTGTTTACTCCTGAGAGCACTCGCCATTGGGATGGCGGAAGGCAGAGACCGGCGTCATCTTAAGGGCGCGGCATGATGCGACTCTCCACAGGGTGGTAATTCTGAAATACAAGAACAGGTTCAGTTTGATGACACTACTAGAGAACAATGTTGCTTAGCAACTTTAAGAGCTTGGGACAAAGTTGAGGAGCCCTGGAAAAGTCCATCTCATTTAAAAAGATTATACAAGGCTCTGGAGAAGCCTTCACTGATTTCTTTTACAAAGATTAGTCTCAGCTATGAACAAAGCTGTACCAGACCCTGATGCAAGGCAAGTGTTGAAAAGACCTTGGTGCATGAAAATTCAAATACCAAATGTTAAAAAAGTTCTTAGACCATTAAAGTCATGGGCAGCACCTATGGACAAGTGGATAAGGGATATGACCAATATCAGTTCTTATGTGTACCACACTAATATCATAGGTCCAGGTATAACCAGAGGTCTCCAATATCAAAATGTCTGGTGACTCAATTGTGGGAAACATGGTCATTTGCAACAAAATCATGAACAAGACATCTCTAAGGGCAATGGTTTTTCTAAATATAAATCAGAAAGATGGCCTAGGCTTCCAGAGGTGTGCAGGTGTGTGGCAAGTGTTGCCACTGGACCAATGAGTGTATGTCCAAAAGAGATATTTGAGGTATTTTCTTACTGTTGGGGGCCTAGATTATGACCTTACAGTAGAAAGTATAAGCCATTTCAGCCAAACAGTGACATGCAGACTGAAAACCTCTACTCAGACTTGGAGATTTAATACATGTTACTGCAGGCAGCTCAGCCCTAGACTTGGCCAACGGGTAAACATCTTACTCTGTCCTCCAAAATTCAGTTATAACCTTTGCCTTCAGGGACAGTAGAGATGAACTTAGGAAGGAGGAGACTGACTTCTCAAGGATTCATTGTACACCCAGGAATTATAGATAAACATTTCAAAGGAGAAGTTAAAATTATGGCTTGTGTAAAAGGAGAGATGCAATTTAACACAGATGATAGGATGTAACGGTTTCTGTACATTAAAAGCAAAGCCATTCCAGCATAAAGGACAGAAGGTTTTAGAAGTACTGGAAAACCTGTGTCTGGAAAACAGGTAACGATCAGAAGCCAAACTAAAATTGCAAGTAAATGGTATCGAAATAGAAGGCTAGGTGGAAACAGGAGCTACTGTTTAACAATCATTTCACAAAAATCTTGGAAATCAGAATGGCCACTTCAAAAGATTTATGTCCAGTTACTAGGAATTGGGAAGCTATCTCAGATAAAGCAAAATGTGTCATGGGTTAAATGTGTGGGACTGTAAGGTCATATTGTAGGGAAATGTTAGTGGTTCCCCAAAAACCAGACAGGAGCCGATCTGATGCAACTCACAGCAGGGTCTTTATTCTATTCAAGCTAGCTCAGGCCCTTCAATGCACTACTGTCATTCAGGACAGTTTGGGGGTTGGGGGGAGCCCTGAATTTCTATGGGGCAAGGCTTTATAGTAAGCAGCAAGCAGGGAGTGTGTGTGTTAACATCTAATTGGAAAGTTACTCTGGCCTTTAACATAACTATATGGTGCTGAGAGTCATATCATGAATTTAACTTCTGTTCCCCTCTATATTGGTGGTCATTAGGCAGGGGGTGGGCTTGTAACCTAGGAGTGCAGGTTTGTTGGGGGAATAACCTGAAGACACTGGTCTTGTTGCAGGTATAACCTGGAAATGGTGGTCTTGTTGAGGATTAGCCTAGAGACTGGAGGTAGACTCAGGTTTGTTGGGGGGCAACTTGGAAACTAATGTTAGGTACCAACCTGTTAGTTTATCTGAGTTCAAACTTGGGTCATGTTCTCTAAAATGGAGTCTGAATTTAAAAGATTTGGCCTTTCATCCCCTCCCCCCTTCTTTTGTGACTAGAAGCCCCAATCATGGGACTTCCTGAAGCTTCATGAAAACAGTAACAGGGCTATGGCTTTGTACTGTCCCTGGGGCATGGGTAGGGGCCTACCAGTGGGAGAGACAGCAGAGAGTCTTGAGGCTGAATTTTCCTCCTGCTGGCCAGGGTTGTCTTCAACTGCAAATGGATGTGCAGTGGATCCATGCTGCAACTCTGTAGCACAGGGTCCCTTTTAGTGAAGCTCTAGTGACCCTTGGCAGTGTCTCTTGACCCAATTTCCAGGCTAAAGTTGGTGGAGCTCCAGAGTTGGACCTATTTTATGGAAAGCACAAAGTTTAAGTCAAACACATTTATATACCCATTGGATCGTGTAATAACTTTTGTCAGTAAGTGAATCAAATATAACTTTAAAAGGGGTAAGTCCCATCTGATATGGGGAGTTTTTTTTTATCCTAAGGTCAATTTAGCTAACGTCTCTTTTAGATTTCTATTCACCTTCTTTACCTATCTTGAATTCCAGGGTCTGTAAGCACAATGAAATTTCTAATCCCCAGAATATTAGCTAATCTCTAACTTACCTGGTACACAAATGTAGGTCCATTGTCTAACCCTATAAGCTTAGAAAAATCGTATGTTAGAAGAATTTCTTGTAGTAATTTTTTTGTTATTATCTCTACAGTCTCATGTTTAGTTGGGAAAGTCTCAGTCTATCCTGGAAAGGTATCTTTTATATTAGCAAATATTTGTATCCAGATTTTTCTGGTTTACCTCTATGAAGTCCATCTCTTCATAGACTCTTGGCTTGGTGCTCCAGTATTGAGTACCAGGGTTCTTCTCATTGGCAACTGCATTAGTCAATTGACAGTCCTCATATTTTTTTTAACAATTTTAGCTATTTTCAAATTGGCATCTCTCATTATGATATGGGACTGGTGGACTAAGTCCTGCATTTTTTTGGGTCCCATATGTGAAGAACAATGGATCTTTTTCAGTATGTGTGATGGTTTGTATATTCTTGGCCCAAGGAGTAGCACTACTAGAAGGTTTGGTCCTGTTGGAGTAGGTGTGTGCTTGTTAGAGTAGTTGTGTAACCATGGGTGTGGACTTTAAGATCCCCATCCTAACTGCCTAGAAGTCACTCTTCCACTAGCAGCCTTCAGATGAAGATGTTGAACTCTCAGCTCTGCTTGCATCATACCAGCCTGGATGCTGCCATAGTTTTGCCTTGACGATAATGGACTGAACCTCTGAACCTGTAAGCCAGCACGAATTAAATGTTGTCCTTTGTAAGACTTGCCTTGGTCATGGTGTCTGTTCAAAGCAGTAGAATGCTAAGAGAGCATGTGTATATCTATTTTCTCTGGTACAATTAGTTTGTAGTCAGCTGTCCTCTGTCATCTCTTATGACACTGAGACATGAGCAGGTTTTTGGCCCAGATCATGTCTTCTGTCTGATCAGAGTGTGTGGGGTCTACTGGGTCTAGGGTAATCAAGGACATGAGGGGTCCAATTTCTAGGGCTACCCACTGGGCTGTCTTATTGTCCCTCTGGGTTGGAGTTTAGTCCTGCCTTCTGTCAGGAGGCCTCTCTCCCTATAAATAGCCCCATGGATATGAGCGGTAGCAAAGGCACACCAGCCATCTGTGTCTCTTGTCATTCTCAGCTCTAACGCCTTGGTCAGAGCTGTCAGTTGTTGCCACTGGTGAACCATATTACCTCTGCATCCATCCGAGCAGCATGCAGAGGCCCATTGACCGAGGTCAGGGTCAGGCAGCAGGGCAGCTGAGAAGTTATCCTGGGGGCATTCAAGAAGAGAGGTTGGTAATGAGTCACTTTGGCATCATCTTTAACCAGGAGGTCATTGCTGCACTGATGTGTAAACAGGGTGGGGGCCAGCTTCTGCCAATTGGGGACACATTGGCTGATGTCAGGGCCCCGAGTATGAGTGGCCATCCCCAGGTCTAGGGAGGTCACCTGTAATTGGCAGAGTAAGGCCTTTTTTTGTTTGGTTGGTTGGTTGGTTTTGGGTTTTTTTGTTTGTTTTTCAAGACAGGGTTTCTCTGTGTAGCCCTGGCTGTCCTGGAACTCACTCTGTAGACCAGGCTGGCCTCGAACTCAGAAATCCGCCTGCCTCTGCCTCCCAAGTGCTGGGATTAAAGGCATGTACCACCACTGTCTGGCGAGTAAGGCCTTCTTAGCAGAGGCTCAATTGTCCAATATTTTAGGGCCTCTAAGAGGTCCTGGGTTTTTGTTGTTGTTGTTTGTTTGTTTTTGTTGCCATCAAGAAGTCATTTATAGGCGGGTGGTGGTGGCACACGCCTTTAATCCCAGCACTTGGGAGGCAGAGGCAGGCGGATTTCTGAGTTCGAGGCCAGCCTGGTCTACAGAGTGAGTTCCAGGACAGCCAGGACTACACAGAGAAATCCTGTCTCGAAAAACCAAACCAAACCAAAACAAACCAAAACAAAAAAAAAAAACAAAAACAAACAAAAAAAGAAGTCATTTATAAACTGATAAACTTTATTTTTAGGTTTTAGCAAGACAGAATGTTGAACTTTATTAATTACCAACAAAAACCTAGTAGATTTCCCTTTTACTTTTAAGGTTACCCTGGGCTTGAGGAGGGGGCACTTCTTTTGATCTTTAGGCTCTCTCTCTCTCTCTCTCTCTCTCTCTCTCTCTCTCTCTCTCTCTC